TTCACGTCGTTCAAAAGCACCGAGCGCTATCATCGCTGACCCTCGGCTGGACACCCGCTCGGTCGCAGGGGAGTAATGAGATTCTTGGCAAGAGTTCATGCAAACGTATCGTCGCCCAGGGAGTGGGTGAAAGCTGCGACGTTAGGGGAAAGCAGCGAGAAACCGCTTTCGTGGTGATTTAGAAACCCGAAGATTCTCGAGAAGCCAAAGCGGCAATAGGTGGGATGGGCGTTTGGGTCTTTGGGACAAAATAGTCCTGAGACGGCGGAGACCACACGAGTCGTCCTGGAAAACCTGGTAACGAGCCATCCCCGGAGTTTTTAGTACTGACGCTGCGGCAAAAGTTTAAAAATAAGCGAGTCGAGAGTCGCTTTTTCGCGAATTTTACGATGTAAAAGTTCCGGAGTACAAGCTCCTCGAGATTTAATTCCATGCGGCTGTTGTGTATTTTTTGCGACCGACAGAATAATTGATGCACCGTTCGAATCGTCAGCATATCAAGGTGCAATTCACGCGTGAATGCGACATGTCAAGATAATAAAGTTTACAAATAAATTCCCCTGACGGCAACCAGAGAGTGAAAGGGAGGGAAAAGGGGTGAGATTGAATGTCCTTTCGGAGGGATGAGCGAAAATTAAAATCGAATTTTTTAACATTACAAAGGAATACACCCGATATAGTATTTCGCGTAGAAGTCCTTTGGTGCACAATGCACCCGTCCGACGCCCCCCTTTGGGCTTGGCTCGCGCCGAAAACCTCTTTTGCAGCTCGCAAAGAAAAGGAAGCCGATATCCTGGCGTCCTCGGATGCCTATTTTTCGGCCTTGTCGGGACTCCTTTGATCCCCCCCCCTCTCCATTGCCTATTCCTTTACTTTCCGTCAAGAGACAGGCATCCTGGAATGCAACTGCAAAAAGAGGGAGGGAAAGGTGTCCGAGCGATGCTCAGGGAGACCCGCGCCTCGAAATATCCGACAGGGTGCTGATGCCGGGAGAGCAAGAGAAGAGTACATGCACTCGAATTTCCGGATGGAAAATACTGCTCCCTCCTCGGCGGCCGTCTTCGATCCTCGGCCTCTAATACTCATGCCACCAGTCGAGTACATTTGAATCGAAGTCGTTGGGCTTCCGTGCGAGCACGTAAGCAATTTTTTTTCGTTTTTTCTTCCTTCCAGTCACGCCCTGGCAGGTGGTGACGCGCCTTACGCTCGCACGTATGCGTGAAATATCGCCGAGTAAGCTGAAGAAGAGAGAAATGAGGTTTGCGCGTGAATTTCATTTTCCGCGAGTTTACAGCTGCCTTACTTGCTTTTTTTTCCTTGGATCGTCGTTTTTAAACTTCACGGTGAACCTACGATTGAAAGTAGTACTCGGAAATGGGAAATAGTATTACTCGCGATGGAAATACGAAAAATTATGTGTTGGAAAATCGAAGTTACCACCGTATTCCGAGATATTTTGTGTTTCCTCGCATTTTAAATCAGAAGGAAATGAGGTGCTCAACTGATGTATACATTTTTATAAAAGCCTATTTCAGCATTCGATTAGATATCATCTGTAAAGCTTAAAGTATAGTTACTAAAGTATTCTTCGTCAATTTATGATCATTGAGCTTTTTGACTTGCAGTCATTGTTTACCAAAATAGAAATGACACATAAACCTCCAAATATTTTATCTATCCACGCTCTGATAAAGAATTGTAAAAAATTATGTCCCTAGAAACTAGTTCCAACGTAAATAATCAGAATCAGAATGTAGTAACACTTGTTTCCCTATGAATCGGAAGAAAACTCTGTTTTAGTTAAACAGTTGGACAGTTTTAAATATTTACCTTTTAATTGTATTTTTTTAATATTAAGTAAATAACGCTACATCTGGTCAGACAGCACCTTATAATTTAATCACCATGATAAATAAGTAGAAAATTTAGTATCTGGGCAGATTATATACAGGTTTCGGTCGGACGACATCTTTTGAAGAATGCTATATTCAAATTTTTCTTATGCAAACTGTAACCTTGATATTATATTATCAGTATATATCTTTAACTGGATACTTTGTAGAAATTCCATGATAACAAGTAGAAAACTGAGTACATGGTCAACGGTATCTATTATTCAACGTTCCAGAAAACAAGTAGAAAAATCAGTATCGGGTCAGACTGCATCTTTCGCCTAAGTTCCAAAAGTGTTTCTAGTTGCCTGGCGTGTCTGGTCTTACTTTATGTTGTGCAGAATGCTGTATTATAATTTTTCTTAAATAAATAAAAAATTTAGGGTCCAGTCAGATCGTATCTTGTGCTGAATACATAATTATAATTTTTCTAAAATAAGTAGAAAATTCAGTGTATAGTCAAACCATATCTTTCACTGAACGTTAAAAAATAATTTTCAAAAAATAAGGTATCAGGTCAGACTGCATCTTTCACTTTACATTTCAAAAGCGTTTCTAGAAAAAACAAGTAGAAAAGTTAGTGTCTGGTCAGACTATATTTTTTTCAAGCTTTTCAATTCTAATTTTTTAGAACAATTAAAAGACTCAGGGTATTTCAAGTATATATCTTAAACTGGGTACGGTAAAGCAATTTCACGACAAAAAGGGGAAAACTCCTAATATAGTCAAACTATACTGTTCACTAAACGCTCAAAAATTATTTCCAAATAATAAGTAGAAAAGTCAGTATCAGTTCAGAATATTCTGTCACTGATTGTTTTTGTAATAAGTAGATAGTTCAGGATATGGTCAGACCGTATCTTGTGTAGAATGGTCCAATGTAATTTTTCTAGAATAAGTAGAAAACTTCGTGTATTATTAAGATATATCTTCAACATACTATAAAGGAATTTTATGATAGTAAGTAGAAAACTCAGTATCTGATGGTAAGTAAACTTAGTGCCTGCTCTGAATGTATCTTTAACTGGATGCTTTAAAAAAATTTTTATAAGAATAAATATAAATTTAGGATGTGCTTACAAAATGCTCTAACTTAATTTTAATAAGAATGAGTGGAAAACTCAGCATTTAATCAGACAGTGCCTAAATACGTTACACCTTTGCCTTAAGATGCTTTTGATATTAATGAATATAAAATTGATAATTATCTCAACTACAAAAATCGTTGCCACAAACAATTCCTGAGTAACTCGATATATCTTCGCATTAGCAACAGATCGGCTCGTACAATCCATACTCATTGAGTCGTGCGAATCGACGAAACTAAATTTTCGTGAAAACTGATAAACTGGATTATTAACGACAGAATCTTCCTCCGTGACGCAAACTCCTCTGCATCATTGGAACGCAGAAGTATGAACGCCGGTAGCAGCTCGGAAAATTTCTGAATTTTTCGTTCAGATAGCTTTCATGTCAAGCCAAAGTGACTTAGCATAATGGTGTGCATCAAGATTTCCCGTCACTAGTACTCGGTAGTGAAGCTTCTGGTGCTGCTACAGCAATGTTTAAAAAAAAAAAAAAAAAAAAAAGGAGGAGGAAGAGATAGCAAAGTTAATGGACAGAAGGTCTAGGAGTGTCTCTGGCGTAAGCGTACACGACTGGCCGATATAAAGATATGCGATTTTCCACGGAAAATGAAGAGAAACTGACTGGCTGCTTTCACGCTTCATTTCTCTCGAACGCGTCGGCTGCAGAACTGAAAAGGACGATGGTTGGGAATAAATGAATGCTCCGCGCGAGATACGGCTTTTTACCACTGCAGCCTTAGTCTGCGCCCATTTTGCAGTGAATAGTTTAGAATGGGGGTAGCTTAAAATTTTTTCGTACATCCTCTCTTTAATTTTAAAGCTTTTCAACTTTTTAATCCCCCCTCGTGCTGGCCCAATTTACTTTTTAATCACCGCTAAAATAACTTCATTGTAGCCTTCTTGTTTCTTTTGCGCTGCCATAAAAATTTCTCTTCTAGCGTTTAAAAAAACCTTTCGATTCCTTTTCTGCGAAATAAAGTTGGAAAAAAATGTCAAGGCTGGATTAAGAAACAAAGGGCTACGGGTTCTGAAAAATAACAACGTAGGAGGGAGCGTATGTTCAAAAAAAAAAACTTTGCTTAAACACACACACACTTTTATCAAAAACTATGCCCATACGTTTAAAAAGATAACGGGACGCACTCATGCGAGGAGGACACCACGAATGGAAATACATGAGAGGAGGGACGCATTAACATTATTTCACAGTGAAAAAATGTAAATCCTCGAAACTCATGCTTTGAACATTCATTGTGCGTTCGCTGCAATGTTTGACACGGGAAAAGATTCATAACAATCCTTGCACATTTGCATTTTCACGTTTTTGCAAACGTAGTTAAGAACGAATAATAAAGAAGGCTCTATCAAATACGCTTGGGTGCTCGCGTCATTACGAAGCGTTTCCCGATACCGTATATATGTATGATCCATTTTACATCGAAACGCATCAGCCGCCCTACATCATCCCCTGGTGAGCGCTGATTTTTTCCGGCCCGGATTTTCACCCTCCTAACCCTGACGAAGCTTGATAAGAAGAAAAAAAAAAAAAAAAAAGAACTTAAACGAGGCTCTCGATTATTTGTATCCACCGAATAAACGTTTGCAGGGGCTTATGGCTTAATCCTAGATGAATCCTCGTTGGGAATATCCTCGCCTTCTCTTAAAGATGCAAATCCCGAAAATGTTAATGCGCGGTATCTCCACTTGCACCCAGACACAGGGCATTCATATTAAAAGTGCGAGGTGTTTTTCCTCCTCGAAATTTTTTTTTTTTTTTTTTTTTGCTTCCACCTCTCGCGCGGTCGACTAGCCGACAGGTACGCGCCAACGCCATGAATATGCAAAGGGGCTAAGTCGTAAAGAGAGAAACACGCGTGCCAGCTCCAGCCAGGGGTTCTCTAGTTTCCGCGAGTGCACCTAACGCTGTTTGTCGTCGATTCAAGCGTATATTTACCGGAGGATACGTCGATAATGGAATGAACTCGCATGTAGGGGCTTAAGAGAGTGGCTGATAACTCACCTATTGTACATGAGGACGTCGGGCTTCCAGAGCCGGTGGGGTGGTATCCTCAAGTCCCGAACGTTGCCGTACTTCGATGGGTCCCACATCATGTTAACGTCGTTCCATTCCTGCAAAGGAAAATATCGATTTTGAATTACAAGCTTGATACTTCGTTCCTCGAAGGGATGGCAAATGAATTTCCAGGAGTAGAAAGAGTGTTTTCAGCGAGTAGTGGGATGATGGGGGGAGGGGGGGGGAGATTTTAAGCGTCAGACGCGTGTCACCGAGCTCCGCCGGTGGTGCGATTTATTACGCTGCTTTTCTCCGATGCCTGTCACCGTTAACCGAATAAACGCGGCTGAGGCGTTCGTCAGCGGTTTAAGCACGTGAAATTCAGAAGACGAAGGGGTGAATCGCGGAAGTACACCATGTGCACGTGTGGTATGGATACACGGAGAAACGAAAGTTAATTAATCTTCCTGTTTATCATCCTTAAATTGTATTTCAATGCAAATTTTCTCAACTACAAGATATTTTGCAAAAGTAGCCCTGCCGTTAGAGTTGAATTTTCCCTTAGCTCGAGGAATTTAAGATTTTTGGTGGTTTTTCATTTCCCGGGAAAATGTCCTTTGTACTCACAAATCAGTTTAATGTTATTGAATCGTGAAATTAGTCCAGGTTTACAGATGTGGTTATACTTTAGGCAGTGTTTTTCATTTTCTCCCGCTAACTAGACGTGACATCTGTTGTCTCTCGTTTAGTCACGAAATCTTTGAAGTGACGAGCATCGAAATTGTATTTTCAGTATAAAGGAGTAACTCGAGGTTGAAAAAGTATATTTGCCTTTCATGGTTTACGAGATGAAGCTTCATTTCTTCAAATGACTTGAATGACCAGAGTTTCTAAAGAAACTTCAAGTGAATCCCGAAATTAAATAACTTTGGCCTCTCTCTCTCTCTCCGTTTAACCGAACGAGTCGAGCATTCGGACGTCGAAATATAATTTACCAAAACTCAACCATCAGCCTCTTCTTTCCTTTGCGATTTTCGTCCTCTCTAATTGGGTCGACTCCTTCATTTCTCCCCAAGAACCTCCAGCCCCGGGCTTTTTCGTCCATTTAACAAAATAATGAAAAAAAAAGTAAAAGCTCCGAAAATAAATGCGAAAAGATTATCTCTCCCCATTATTCAGCCCGAGCTATCGTCGAGTTCCTCCCCCCCGCCTCACTCCCTACACCAGCGTCAGCGTTCCGATTTTTCAGCTGCGCCCACGTGGCGCACGTTTTAAGCAGTTGCCGCACTTCTGACCCGCCTGCACTGGCTACGGGTCTCCCAATCGGCGGGAATCCCAGCGATTTCGATTACATTGCCAGTGGCTGCAGCCGCTGCTGGGAGAACTCGAGGAATCCTAATCGCGGCCCAGCCCCGCCCCCCTCCTCCTTCGTACATGCTCCACACGCGACTCCTCGGCTCACCCCCGTTTGGTGGAGGGGTGGCATTCCTGCGCGCAGTTTTACGGCCCCGCGACATCGTAAACGTGCCTAGGACATCCTCGTGTCTCTTCGTCTCTCCACTTTGCTCCTCCGGGCAGGACGTGCGCGTATCTCAGCTGAAATTTTGATAAAATTCGCGCCAGCTATTTTTCTTCCGGTTAACCTCGGCGTGTACAACCCTCTGACCTGCTTTTTTGCCTCGCCTCTCGGTTACGGATCCTTTGTTGACTCTCTTTCGCGGCGGAAGTGCCGTTTGGTCGGCCAAAACACACTTTCTCGACGTTTTCTGGTACTTGTACAGTTTTTTTTTTTTTATTTTTTTTTTTGCTGTACATCCTAACTTTATACGGAAGTCCATCGAAATAAAAAATTTCAATGCGTTTCCACCCTTTCGTTTGAAATTTCAGTCTCGAATCGAATTTACGTTAAAATAAAATAAAAAATTATAATGTAAAAATGTAATTTTATTTCATGCAGCTGCTATGCCAAATTAATTTCATGCCCAGAAAACTTCGTAAAAATAGGTATTGGAGAAAAAGTCAAGGTAATTTGTGGTTCTTGAATCATTTTAATTGAAAATTAATTAAAAATAAAGCCCCCTCTGGTCATTATTCGTAATTCAAACTTATACACTTATTTTTTGTGAAAACTTGCATCATTATTATTCAGCTCTGGAAGCTTTATCGATTATCTAAAAGTTTAGATAAATTACCTATAGTGATAACAGCGATTAGTCAAAATCTTAACAGCATCCATTTATTTTTCATTAAATTTCTGAATACCAATGTATCAAATGTTCCTATGTGGTATTAATTAAACTATATTTTTATATAACATTTACTGTTATCTATCACATGGCTACCTGCATAATTTTTGCATTCACTTTATTTGTTCAGAAAGAATTCTTTGGATATACATCGTTTACTTTGTTCCAAAAATGTTGTCACAAAATGTTTATTTTATCTGCCCCGGCTTGGGTGATGTAAAATAACCCCTCCATATTTTGAACGTTTTCCCGTTGCAAATTTCTGCATTACATTATAATAACTTCTAATATTTATAAGATTCAAATTCATGTAATTCTCATCAAAATTCAAAAAGATGTGAAAATTTACATATTTAAAACGTGTATTACAACGAAATTCCATGAATTGCGTATGCATCGCAAACTTGAACGGCTGACCTATACTTGGGTTGTACTACTTAACGCATACGCAGCAACGCATAACACAATTTTGATGTTTTTAAACTGTTGTCTCCAACACCTTGTTTTTCTTGGACTTTTGCAAAATATACTCTCACAAATACACTGTAATACACATGTTGTTAAAATACCACCAGTATTTTTTAACCAATCGTGTTATACACGCTATAAACGCGTACAGCAAAAAATAAAGCTTTACAAAGTTATTTTTAATAATCGAGTTATTTATAGCTTTTTCGCGGTCGCCGACACGAGTGCATGCACGTTTGCGTGGGTATAGAGGTATTTTCGTATAATTCGTTTTAGAATAGCCAATAACCAACTCACCAGTTTCAGCCAAAGATTCGTGATGAGTAGCTGATTCTTTTCATCCTGAAACAATATTATTCAGTTATGGACATGATAAAGTGGTATTTACTCGTACATAGGACATGCAAATATGTTCAGAATTTCATACGTAAGTATACCCACTACAGGCTCATGTAGCCATGACACTACGTTGCGTTATACTAACACACAAGAAGGTACACGTACATAAGCACACTATCGATTAGCACATGCTCGTCTAGTTAATGGCTATACTATGGGCATGCCAAATTATCATGCATATCGCAACGTTCAAGAGAAAAACTTACTGCCTCGGTTAGACGGACAGGTAACATCGTTGAAATGAATACACAAGTGTGTATGTATACTTGAGAAAAATGCAATATTCGCGTATTGGGTAAATTCGTGTACCCTCGAAATAAAACGCAGAATAATACTCAGTAAACCCGCAACGCATCTCCATTTGTTTGCTGTGCAAATCGTAATGAAGAATATTATAAACCAGCGAGCAGTCAAAAAATTCACCACCCTCCCTCCCTTCCTCCCTTACTGATGCAAACGAAGGAGTAAACGGAAGAATTTTCTCGAGTGGGAAAAATAAAGGGTGGAAAGAAAAGTATACATTGAATGTACGGACTGATCCACCTTATTTTGCACATGAATGCAGAAATTATTTAAACGCTTTATTCAACCTCGTAATACTTGGCTCGCTTGGTCTTTTTCCTTTCATTCACGAGCACTCCCTTATGCTTTTTATTTCTTCTTTCTCCTCATAATTAACGGATTTTCCACCTCAACGGGGGGATGCACTGCCGAAGAATTTCTCCGATTATCCCGCCGAGCTCGGCTGCGTACATAAAATAAGTGAAAGAGGGCTGGAGGAAAAAATGAAATTTATAAAAAAAAAAAGAAAAACAGGAAAAAGTAGCGGAAAAGGAGAAGAAGAGACGTCGCCCACGAGCTGGAGTGTAAGCCCTGTTGGTGATGGGTAAGAGATAACAAAAGGCCAAGTTTCAAGAAACCGCTCTCTGCACATCTGCCGCAACGTCATCGGTCTTTTAAAGCCGAAAACACGGGAGGACGATTGCCTGTATCCCGAGACTCTTAAATTAATTTTCCAGATCGCTTCGTTTTGATTTTTCCTCCAACTGTGCCTTCGCTTGACGGGGCACGATGGAGTTTGGTTTTTATACACAATACAAATTTTCGGGCCTTTGAAGGAGGGAAGAGAAAAAAAACCGCCGAGAAAAGTAAACAAGACATGTCGAGCTGATTCCGTCGTCATCGAGTTTGCTTTGCGCGCGATTCCCTGAAAGAAAAGTCGAGGCCGCGCTGAATTTCCAAAAGAGCCCAAAAAAAAA